ACATTTTAACTTTTTTATTCATTAATATTGGGAAATCGCATTTTATAATGTAAATTTATTTTTATACCAGACGATACATTGTGAGTTTTTTATTTGTTATTATTGTTAGATCACATGTTATATTGTAACATTTTTTATTTGTTATTATTGGGACATTGAATGTTACATTGTAATTTTTTTTTACTTTTAATTGTAATTTTCTATTATTACTATTGTTAATAATATTATTGTTATTGAGCAATCAGATGTTACATTTTAACTTTTTTTATTTGTTATTATTGGAAGATTGCATGTTACATTTTAACTTTTTTATTTGTTATTATTGGGAGATTGCCTGTTATATTATACTAAAGTACAATGTAACATGCAATCTTCCAATAATAACAAATAAAAAAAGTTAAAATGTAACATCTGATTGCTCAGTAAATTATTATTATTTTTTTGGTCATCAGAAACTACATTATAACTTCTTATCATTTATAATTTATTATTGGGAGATCACATATTACATTGTAACATTATTATTATTATTATTATTATTATTATGAGATCAGATGATACATTGTAACTTTTATTTGTTATTATTTGGAGATCACATTATGTTGTAACTTTTTATTTGTTATTATTGGGAGATCAGATGTTACACTATAATTTTTTTTTATTTGTAATTAAGATGAGATGTTTTACATTGTAACTTTTTTATTGAAAATGTTTTATTTGTTATTATTGAGAGATTGCATGATACATTGTACCTTTTTTATTTTATTATCATTCTTTTTTTTATTAGATCAGATGCTACTTTACAACTTTTTAATTTGCTATTATTGGGAGATCACATATTACATTGTAACATTATTATGAGATCAGATGATACATTGTAACTTTTTATTTGTTATTATTTGGAGATCACATTACATTGTATCTTTTTATTTATTATTGGGAGATCAGAGGTTACATTGTAATTTTTTTTATTTGTAATTAAGATGAGATCGTGTTTTATATTGTAACTTTTTTATTTTACATTTTTATTTGTTATTATTGAGAGATTGCATGATACATTGTACCTTTTTTATTTTATTAATATTATTATTTTTTTTTTATTAGATCAGATGCTACAATACAACTTTTTTTATCTGCAATTATTCGGAGATCACTTTACATTGTAATGTTGTTAATATTATTAGGATAATTGCTTATAATTTGTTCTTATTGGAAGATCACATATTAAATTGTAACATTATTATGAGATCAGATGATACATTGTAACTTTTTATTTGTTATTATTTGGAGATCACATTACATTGTATCTTTTTATTTATTATTGGGAGATCAGATGTTACATTGTAATTTTTTTTATTTGTAATTAAGATAAGATGGTGTTTTATATTGTAACTTTTTTATTTTACATTTTTATTTGTTATTATTGAGAGATTGCATGATACATTGTACCTTTTTTATTTTATTAATATTATTATTTTTTTTTTTATTAGATCAGATGCTACAATACAACTTTTTTTATCTGCAATTATTGGGAGATCACTTTACATTGTAATGTTGTTAATATTATTTAGGATAATTGCTTATAATTTGTTCTTATTGGAAGATCACATATTACATTGTAACATTATTATTATTATTAGTATTATTATTATTATTATGAGATCAGATGATACATTGTAACTTTTTATTTGTTGTTATTATTGGGAGATCAGATGTTACATTGTAATTTTTTTTTTATTTGTAATTAAGATGAGATGGTGTTTTATATTGTAACTTTTTTATTGTAAATTTTGTATTTGTTATTATTGAGAGATTGCATGATACATTGTACCTTTTTTATTTTATTAATATTATTATTTTTTTTTTATTAGATCAGATGCTACAATACAACTTTTTTTATCTGCAATTATTCGGAGATCACTTTACATTGTAATGTTGTTAATATTATTAGGATAATTGCTTATAATTTGTTCATATTGGAAGATCACATATTACATTGTAAACATTATTATTATTATTAGTATTATTATTATTATTATGAGATCAGATGATACATTGTAACTTTTTATTTGTTGTTATTATTGGGAGATCAGATGTTACATTGTAATTTTTTTTTTATTTGTAATTAAGATGAGATGGTGTTTTATATTGTAACTTTTTTATTGTAAATTTTGTATTTGTTATTATTGAGAGATTGCATGATACATTGTACCTTTTACATTTTTTAATTATTATTATTATAATATTTATTAGATCAGATGCTACATTACAACTTTATAAAATATTTGCTATTATTGGGAGATCACATGTTACATTGTAATGTTGTTATTATTATTAGGAGATCGCGTTTTATATTTTAACTTTTTTTATTTGTAATTATTATGAGATCACATGTTACATTGCACATTTATTTTAATTATTTATTTGGAGATCAGATATCACATTGTAACTCTTGTTTCTGTCATTATTGGGGAGATCAGACTTTACATCCCCAATCATTGTCAATGTATATTGAGGGACAAATTCTTTTCTTACACATCCATTGTGTTAGAAAGTTTCTTGTTTTTTCCACAACGCGTGTTGTCAGTATGGAAACCAATACATATTTTGACCTTTCATAACTTAGTGACACCTCTCTAAGTGCAGGAAAAGCCCCGGGCCCTCAGGCAATGCAGATCGGGGCCCGTCTGACAATGGTCTCTATGACTCTTTAGCTGGATTTTCTGGACTTGTTTGATGTCATCTTCCATGGAAACCAGGTGACAGCAGATATAAAGGGACAGTCAGGAGGGAGAAAGGACTGACATTCCTCCATCCTGACCACAGGGAAGATCTCCAACCAACATGGCTGAAACTAAATCCATCCCTGATGAGCCAATGCCTCTGGACATGGACAATCGCGACCCCAACAACCTCAATGAGCATGTCAGGGTGAGTGCAGGCTCCAGACTCCGTATGTGGTCATCATTGTGGGGGTCATTGTCTAAGGGCTGGTCTCCTCCAGTACAATGGAGAAGTGTGGTCTTCAGACCCCAACAACCTCAATGAGCATGTCAGGGTGAGTGCAGGCTCCAGACTCCGTATGTGGTCATCATTGTGGGGGTCATTGTCTAAGGGCTGGTCTCCTCCAGTACAATGGAGAAGTGTGGTCTTCAGACCCCAACAACCTCAATGAGCATGTCAGGGTGAGTGCAGGCTCCAGACTCCGTATGTGGTCATCATTGTGGGGGTCATTGTCTAAGGGCTGGTCTCCTCCAGTACAATGGAGAAGTGTGGTCTTCAGACCCCGACAACCTCAATGAGCATGTCAGGGTGAGTGCAGGTTCCAGACTCCATATGTGTTCATCGTTGTGGGGGTCATTCTCTAAGGGCTGGTCTCCTCCAGTACAATGGAGAAGTGTGGTTTTTAGACCCCAACAACCTCAATGAGCATGTCAGGGTGAGTGCAGGCTTTAGACTCCGTATGTGGTCATCGTTGTGGGGGTCATTCTCTAAGGGCTGGTCTTCTCCAGTATGATGGAGAAGTGTGGTCTTCTGACCTGGAGGTTTCCATTCTAGTCAATACAATGTTGTCCTCCTCGGTGCATACAAAATACAGGAAAACATTTCAAAAGCTTGCATCTGTCTGCCTAGAAATAGAAGTTCTATGAGAAATGAAGGGCCTCTAATACGCCGTAATTTGTACCCAACTGATGACTGACGCTTTATTGTGCCAAAATTTTGATGTAAAATACACAACCACCAGATTGTCTTTTATTTCAGACAGAAATAGCCAAGGAAAATGTAAAATCTCCCCTAGAGTTACCAACATCTGTGTGGTATGAGGGCCTTCCAGACTGTTGTCAGTTGATAGCCAACACGTTTCGGGGGTGAGACTCCCCCTTCTTCAGGCACTGTATGAGAATCATAGCGAAGGACTCAGCAGTGGAATGTACAATTGCTGAAGTATGACTTTCATTCTTTGGTTCTGATGTTCGATCGTATCGATCTGGTGAGATGATGAGGCAGCAATCCGGAGTGTCCACAGATGCACTAGGGCACGGGTGTCAAACTGGCGGCCCTCCAGCTGTTGCCAAACTACAAGTCCCATGAGGCATTGCAGGATTGACAGTTACAAGCATGACTACTAAAGGAGAGGTATGATGGAACTTGTAGTGTGGCAACAGCTGGAGGGCCGCCAGTTTGACACCCCTGATAAAGGTCTATGCCGTGGCAAATGTACTTGATACTGCTGAGTCAATTTCTCAGATTTTCGTACAAACCCTCATGAAGGGGGAATCAGTCACCCCTGCAATGCCTTGGCTGTTGACTTCTAATAAAGAGCAATCTTTTGCCCCTATAAACACCTCTTTTTTTAGCACTTTCTCCACCTCCAGTCTTCACCCAAGGTCCCTCAGACTGAGGGAAACCCTCGTTTAGAAGCAACCAAACTATATGGATCCCTATCACTAGATTATTATTTATTATTATTATACAGGACTTATATGGCGCCGACAGTTTGCTCAGCGCTTTACATTATGGAGGGAGACAGTACAGTAACAATACAGTTCAATACAAGAGGGATTAGAGGGCCTGATCCTGGGAGCTTACAATCTAGGAGGGAGGGGATAGTGGTACAAGAGGTAATTAGCTGTGGGGGATGGAGTGGTGGGAGGAGTAGGGGATTCCAGTATTAGCTGGGGTCGGGGTAGGTTTCCCTGAAGAGATGGGTTTTCAGAGTGCACCTAAAAGTGAGCAGAGTAGGCAATAGCTTGATAGCTTGAGGTAGGGAGTTCCAGAGGATGGGTGAAGCCCTTGAGAAATCCTGAAGACGAGCATGGGAGGAGGAGACAAGGGAGCTAGAGATTAGGAGGTCTTGCGAGGAGCGGAGAGTACGGTTTGGGTGGTATTTAGAGATAAGGTCGGTGATGTAATTTGGGGCAATGTTATGAATGGCTTTGTACGTCAGTGTTAGTGTTTTGAATTTTATCCGTTGGGCAATTGGAAGCCAGTGGAGGGATTGGCAGAGAGGTGTGGAGGACACTGAGTGGAGGCCAGTGTAGGGATTGGTAGAGAGGGGTGGAGGACACTGAGTGGAGGCCATTGGTGGGATTGGCAGAGAGGGGTGGAGGACACTGAGTGGAGGCCAGTGGAGGGATTGACAGAGAGGGGTGGAGGACACTGAGTGGAGGCCAGTGGAGGGATTGACAGAGAGGGGTGGAGGACACTGAATGGAGGGCAGTGGAGGGATTGGCAGAGGGGGGTGGAGGACACTGAGTGGAGGCCAGTAGTGGGATTGGCAGAGAGGTGTGGAGGACACTGAGTGGAGGCCAGTGTAGGGATTGGTAGAGAGGGGTGGAGGACACTGAGTGGAGGCCAGTGTAGGGATTGGTAGAGAGGGGTGGAGGACACTGAGTGGAGGCCAGTGTAGGGATTGGTAGAGAGGGGTGGAGGACACTGAGTGGAGGCCATTGGTGGGATTGGCAGAGAGGGGTGGAGGACACTGAGTGGAGGCAAGTGGTGGGATTGGCAGAGAGGGGTGGCAGATACAGAATGGTTAGTAAGGTGGATGAGTCTGGCAGCAGCATTCATGATAGACTGAAGAGGGGATAGCCTGCGATGAGGTCGGCCAATGAGGAGGGAGTTACAGTAGTTGCGGCGTGATATAATGAGGGAGTGAATGAGTTGCTTTGTGGTTTCCGAGGTTAGGAACGGGCGTATCTTGGAGATGTTGTGGAAGTCGGAGAAGTTGTGGAGGTGAAGTCTACATGAGTTTGTCAGTGATCGGATCTGGGGCTGGAAGGACAGATTGGAGTCTAGGATGACACCTAGTACCCTGGCGTGAGGGGAGGGACTGATGGTAGTGTTGTTGGTCTTGATAGAGAAGTCAGGGCTGGGGGGGAATACTAGGAGCTCAGTTTTGGACAGGTTGAGTTTGAGGAAGTAGAGTGACATCCAATCCGATCTGTCACTTAGTAGGCTGGTGATGTGAATGGAGACTGAAGGGGTGAAGTGGGGGGTAGAGAGATAGATTTGTGTGTTGTCGGCATAGAGATGATAGTTGAAGCCGCGGGAGTTTATCAATTGGCCGAGGGAGGAGGTGTAGATGGAGAAGGGGATCCCTCTGATCCAGCTCCATTCCCAGCCAATATGACCTAGAGAGGGACAGCAATGGTGGGGAGGGACGCTGGATGGAGGTCCTTAGGATTTTAATGGCGTATGAACTGCAACTGCCGTCTGTCTAATAAATCCATGTATATTAATTCAATGTTTAACATTTCCCTTGTTAGTTTGGTTCTATGGCTACACACTCCACCAGCCAGTCTTTAGTTTGTGATGTTTATGTACAACTTTCCATACGTTTGATTTTTATGTTATAGAAACGCAAGTTGTTTAGCATGAATTATTTTTGAATATTTTATATTCATTAAAGAGAACCTTGATGTAGTCGAAGCATAAAATATGATGATGTGTCCTAGGGAGTTTTATGCGCTGGGACGTCTGCTTGATTCTGCTGTGACAGGTTCTCTTTAGTATAAAACATTATTCTCCTGCTATTAATGGATTTACTATTTATCTATTTTTAGAGATTTTCAAATATGTATATATGTATAGAGAGGGGGGGGGGGAGAGAGGGAGGGGGAGAGAGAGAGAGGGGAGGGGAAGAGAGAGAGAGAGGGGGAGAGAGAGAGAGGGGGGAGGGAGGGAGGGAGGGGGAGAGAGGGGAGAGAGAGAGAGGGGGGAAGATAGAGGGAGAAAGAGAGGGAAGATAGGGAGGGAGGGGAAGAGGGAGAGAGAAGAGTGAGGTGGAGAGAAAGAGAGGGGGGGGGGGGAGAGAGGGAGGGGGGGAGAGAGAGGGGGGAGGGAGGGAGGGAGGGAGAGAGAGAGAGGGGAGAGAGAGAGAGGGGGGGGAAGAGAGAGGGGGGAAGATAGAGGGAGAAAGAGAGGGAAGATAGGGAGGGAGAGGAAGAGGGAGAGAGAAGAGTGAGGTGGAGAGAAAGAGAGGGGGGTGGGAGAGAAAGAAAGAGAAAGAGAGGGGGGAGAGAGGTAGAGGGGGGAGAGAGAGGGGGAGAGAGAAAGAGAGAGAGAGAGGGGAGAGAGAGGAGGGAGGGAGGGGGGAGAGAGAGAGAGAGAGAGAAGAATGAGTTGTTGTAGCAGCTACAACTCTATTTTTTAAACTTTATATTATAGATTTACATTTTATTTGTTTTTTATTTTTTTAAATAACTTTATAATGTATTTGTTTTATTTTATATACATTTTAAATATAGAGTCATTGCAGCGGCTACAACTCTTATTTACTCTACAATATCATTTCTGTCGCTGGGGGGGGGTTATTTATTGCACGCATGTTTGTTGTGAATGTGAATCTGTGATTATTTTATGTTTACAATGTATCAAGTTTATGTTCAGGAGTAATTGGTAATTGTAGCAGCTGATTGGATAGGTATCATAAAAACTGGTATTTTAAAGAGAACCTGTCACAACGGAATCAGGCAGCCGTCTCAGCACACATACAGTACCCCCCCCCCCTTCCCGGGGGACATGTCTGTCATTGTCATTAGATCCTGATCTGTAACAATTACTTTCATCGCTCTGATTGTTTTCTGGGTTAATGAATTGTTATTTGGACGGAAAGGTCACGCCGTGTTTTTCTCACCTATAATTCCTTGGAAAATACAATTATATAAATCGGCCCGCGGGGAGCTGCGACACGTACAGGGGGACGCAGTCTTATTAATGTCAACAAAATGTCATCACAGATGGATCATCATCTTCATAGATCCACATTTCTGTCCTCAGTGAGGGCGATACATATATAACACTCCCAGGGGCGGACTGACAACTCATGGGGCCCCCGGGCAATAGGGGATCATGGGGCCCCTGTGTCCTCGCCCACACCCAAAAAAGCCTATGAAAGGCACCAGGGTCATCTCATGGGGCCCCTTACTGACCCCGGGCCCTCGGGCAGTGCCCGAGTTTCCGAATGGTCAGTCCGCCCCTCAACACGCCACTCTAATATCTAAAGAAAAGAGATTCGTAAAGTTTGCAGCGCGCAGTCTGTACATCAGTAACTGTAAGCTCAGAATGGCATCCTGGAGCTGCTGGGGGGGGGGGGGGGCAACAAAAGTTGAAGGCCTTGAGGTATTTGGCACAGGCAGACTTTGATGGGCTGTAAAACCACAGCTCGGCCACCTGTTTTTACTGCCCTTCCTTCCAGCTACCCATGTGAAAGAGGCCTTAGACATGTTTCTTCTAGAGCCAGTGGGGACATCACCTCACTGATACTGCAATCAGCTTCCAGGTTTTCCTGTCAAAGCTTCATTGATCCAGCTGAATTGAGAAGCTGATTGGCTCCCATACACAGCTGCACCAGATTTTGCACTCTCCAGGTTTAGTAAACCTTCCCCATACTGTCTTGTGATTGGTGCCACCAGGACATGAAGGGGGGCAGATCTCCCTAGTGGGGACACAGACAGCAATAAAAGGCTTGAGAGAAGTGGTAACTCTTCTCTATTACATCCAGAACTGAAGACGAAACATTTTAGGCTGGAGCCGGGGCTATGCATTTCAAACAGTCCACTCAGGTGGGAAAACAGACGGACCGTCCTCACTATTGGTATCACACCATGAGCCGATTCATCCATTCACCATTCAGTCTGACACTTTCTGGGAATGATCCCCATTTGTCAAGAAATTTTTTTGTTTATCCAACAGGTCCTCTTTGAAGATGCCTTTGGAGAGCCGGAAGGGACGCACAGTATCCCGGGGGTCTGGGGAATGTCCTACAAGACGTTCCGCGGGGTGAAGAACTGCTGTTACATCGTGCTCTCCGTGCTGTGCGGTTTGCCCACTGGCCTTCTGCTGGGCCCTGGAGTTCGCCTGCGTCCAGTGCTGCCACATCTGGTGCGTGGGGCCCTGCATACGCATGTGGAACATGAACGTGTCCTGTATGAAGTCATTCTGGAGCTCCTGCGTCCACTGTCTGTGCGACCCGTGCTACGAAGCCTGCGGCTTGTGCTTCAGCCTCATCCGGGTCCAGAATAAGAACGGATAAAGATGGCGCAGCGCCAAAAACCACACGGACTCCGACCTACGCCTGAAGGCAGCCATATTGCCTCCTGGCAGAGAAACCGTCTCATCTTCTAAGAACACTTGACCATCAAGGACCACTCCACCAGCCTGGACCACACCACCCGCGGCATCAGCTACTGACCTCAGAGAGGCATTGGGCACTGTCCATCAAGATGCAATATCATTTATAAAGTGCTAAACGGTGACTAAGGCATGCTAAAGCGGCCCATCAATCAACATTATTGTAGGTCATTTTAGCATGCCTTGAGCACTATTGCAGACCAATGAATGGGGACCATTGAGTGCCGAGTGCCTCTATAGTACTGCCCTGTCTAACATCACCCCCTGGTCTCTCTCCACCCTTAAAGGGACTATCCATCTCATCCTAGACTCATCCAGACCCTTCCTAAAGAGTTAAGACAGGATTCAGGTTTTCATGTTGTTGCTCACTGTGAGCCCACGTGAAAGAAAAATATATTTTTAAAATATTCTTCCCAAATATATTGACATATATTTGAAATACTACAATGTCGGCTGTAGTCCATACATATCAAAAATATATTTCAAAATATATAGAAAGCGTATGTTGAGATGCGTATTTTTTTTTTATATATGAAGAATATTTTTAAAAATACATTTTCAAATCTATGTCTTTGAAAATACATTCAATCTACAGTTTTTGGAATGCATTTACAAGCAGTTAAAATGACTTTTTAATATATGTTAAAAAAAAAAAAGCTGAAGAATATATTTTTTAAATATGTGCCTTTAGGAAATATATTTAAATTTTCATTTTTTAGAATACGTTAAAATATATTAGCGGAGGCCAATACATTGGAAATATAGGTCACATGTAGCATTTTATTTTTCTAAATATATTGGAAATATATTTCTCTTCCATGTGGGAGGACCCTCCACCTACATGTTTTTTCCCAAATGTTAGCGGGCGGGCAGCTCCTGCAATGTATTTTCCATCAGATTCTGAAGTTTAACCCCTTGATGCCGAGCGCGCACGCAAATATGCGGCCTCTCGGCGTCTGGGATGCATATTTGTGAGCAATTAGGAAATACACATGTGCTGAGAGCGCGTTCCCTGCGCGCTCCCAGCACGTGTCCGTGACTCACGGAAAGGTCCCAATCTTTCCTTTCGATCGGGACCTTTTTTGATCATGTGACCACCGTGACGGCGAATCACGGCACTCACATGACCCCCGCCTTTCGGCTTCTGAAACTCTTAAAGGGCCGGGAGGTGCCAAGGCGAAGAGGTTAATAATACCGCTTTGGTCTTCATGTTAGCTTCCACATAGCAGCAGTAAATGTGAACTGTACCCAGAATAGACGGTCCCTGGCGTGGGATGCACCTCTTTGCTCCTTGTAATGTCATTCATATATATATGTTTTATTATAATTTAAATCCCTCTTTGGTCAAATGGCTCTCTAAAGAAGTGTGGTTAAAAATAAATCGTCTTCCTTTTCCATCAACTTCTCCGTCGTCGAATTTTCTTGCACAGTTTCTGCATTAGGTGGGTCGGTGGACCAGAACTCAATGATTTACCTCGACCTTTACTAACAGTCTGGCTTCAATAGACAGAGTAATAGAAATTCTTACATATTTACCTTTCCTGGGGCTAATGCTGCTCCAGGCACCCTCCAGTGCTGGCTCTAGGTCTAGGCATTGGGCCACACTAGGGAAACTGATCTGACAAGCTGCAGCCTCTTGCTACAAAGATACAATGTACAGTCTG